AGAAACGAGGCCAGTGGATCACCGAACACCGGGATTATCAACACATATAACCGATGCTGACTGGAATGATTGAGGCTCACTGAGAAGTATAGCGTTCAGATGAAGAAAAACACAAAATTACGGTTATACCAGTACCGACGTTGATAGCTGATCGAATAGCCTCTAGGAGAACGAGTTATTCAAAAGGAGCAGTGAATCAGTTGATGTAGTTTTGCCATTGTTTTCATCGCGCGCAGAGCGAAAGAATCTTGAACAGAATTGCTCGAGTGGAATATCACTATTTGAACTTTGTTTGATCACACTGGCAGCACGTGAACCCGTCAACCCTGACGCTCAAACCCTAAATATCCTAGATAGAGGAAAAACATGCGATCGTACAGCTCATTAGACTGGTTAACTTTTCGTGTATACAAACANAACCTACCTTTACAAGCTTGTTGCCGGTTAGTGACAGAGCTCATTATGAAGCTATCCACCGTAGTTTTGATTCAGTCAAGAATATTTTGACCCTGACATTTGGTGGGTATGGTTCTATTTCGTAATGACCTTTTGCCATATACCAAATAAAGGCAATGTGAAAAGAGATCCCGGAAATCAATGTACTGCTTTTTAACTATGTATGCTTCCGGGGGCCGGAGAATTCAGACTGCTAGCTTTTTTAAACGCACAGAATTTAACTCAACAATGGATTATCAAAAGATCGTCTTGCGGTAACGTTTTCTCGTCCATATACGAACTCCGTAAGTAATGAAATAGAACACAGTCAGAAGCGTACAGCAATTTGTTAAACTGTGCAAAAATAAGCTTATTTATAGGAAAGAGCGAAACCAAGGGAATGCATATATCAAACTATTGGCTGACCGGATTTCTGTCACCATTCTTGAATGGTTGGTGGTTCCGGCCAATCACCTGAGTTTGTCTATCTTTGTTCTGATGCGTTGTCTCAGAACAAGGCAGTTTTGAGGAAGCATGATGATTCCCTGACACTAATGAAACCCTAACAAGGTTACTTTTACTTTGCTCAGTATATGAGAAAGTCAATCAAAAAAATAATTCTTGTTCATTTATTATTTCGTTTCCCCTTCACAGGCCTATTGGTCCGGGGGCGTTGTGCTACAAAGGACGAGAGAGGTTAACGGCTCAATAGAATAGGTGCAACGATCTCGTAAATACATCACTGGTGACCACCGATATACAGCAACGATTATCATCGTTTTTTGAATCATCCCAGAAACCCAATTGACCATCGACTCATCAGCTAGAAAACGGTGGTGGAGACTTACTTTTCCTAGAATGCCTCTTTAGCTTTTAGGATTACTGAACTTTTCAAGAGATTGGTTCCCTCCAAAGACAATAAAGTATGTGGACATCCGTGACGTGCTTTCTATTTGTGCTAAATGCTCAAGTATTCTTGAACACGAATCTGTCAACACTCTTCGCGTTAGCGTTTATCTAAATCCGTTATATGAAGCAAAACAAATGAAACCGAATCCAAAAGAGAAAAGAGAAACATCGTAATAGTTTACGCAATAAACGACTGCATCACACCAGCAAGCGTTTTACATTGCAAGCAGAGCTTACGTGAGTATCTAAGACAATGGGTCTTAGATTTCAAAAGATATATTATGTGCTAGTTTTTCACTTCCACGCGTATTCGGAACGTTGGACGAGCGAGTGCATCTCTAACAATGTGCACTACAACTACCCAATGGTTTTACATTATCTTCTCGTGCTCCACCGTAACTGAACAACTAAATTCTTCTCTGATGAGTTATCGATTTGATTGGGTAATTTTCCACTATTTGCACAGCTCCAACTTGCTCAACAAGACGCGATCCTGCTTGATTACCAGATTGAAATGTTTTTGCTACACTTGTTGTTACCTCTTGTCCAGCTGTGTAAGAATACCATACCATAAATCATATTCAATATATAAAAAGAATAAAATTATCTTATACAGAAAGCGCTGATACTTAAAGTAGTATTCCACCCTTTTGATCATGACGACATATTTATAGTGGACAGTGTGAAAACTATTCTGATATAGGTATACTGACCGCGGGGTTGGATACTCCTTCTAGGTAGATTGTGCATCAGTTTTCGCCTAGCTATGGAACTCCATGCATCGCGTTCAGCAAATGTAACTCTGTTTTAAGTGGATAAACACACAAAGCGTTAGGTTTGTTCAACATCGGACTGATTGCGTGATGTGATGCGTGAGTGACGATATGAAAAAAATGAACACCAATTTACTTATTTATATTTCACAATCAAAATAGAATGAAACATTCATATTGATGTTGTGCCAAGCTTGATTGTTGTTCATTTAGTAGATATGGAACAATCAATTGAATTGCACTAGGCTTTAACACAACTATCAATTCCCCACAAGAGCAAAAATGTTTTTGCAGCAGATAATCATCCTGCTCCAGAAGTTTGAACAGAGTACACAAAACACTTGGTTCCAGCGCTCGGTCTTCCCATGCCAAAGGAAAAGACGGCCGTTGGGACTAACGACTATAAAATGCTATAGAAAAGAATAATTAAACCAAGTATGTCATTCCTTGGGAGTGTTCCAGATTAATTATGATACACACACAAATTTTTTCATTTGATATTCTCTTCATTTGACTATAAATAGTATTGGTTACACTAATATAACCACAGATGAATTCGGAAATGTACGTTCACCTGCATTGTACTCTAAAGGTATGAAGTGGAAGATTTGTGATGATACAAGCCGGAGCTATGGATAAAGCAGACGACATTTGTGCCCTAACTGATGTATATGCTCCGACAGGATCCCCCTGTTCATCGTGGGAAGCCAATACCCACTTCAAAAACGAGAACCAGGAATGTAATTTTGTAACAACAACAAGCAAATTGACTTTCTAGTGGGTGTATACACGTTTGGCGGTGACGGCAAGGAATTTAATTCCTGTTCAAACTACCAATAATTATCCCGGAGGAACGAGTGATCCATATATGAAAATATCCACTGGTGACTTGTATTATCCAATATACAGCAGAATATCTACTTTCAGCAAAGTGTAGCGTCCAATGTTCATTCCATATGCATACAGATGTTTTACGTGACACAAATAACGGTTGAATTGCATGAAAGTTATCTTTATTCTAAAATTAAAGCGGTACATTGAAAAGGACATAATTTTCGAAAAACCACTGTTCTTTTATATAACTTTTTATGTCTTTCTGATAAATGGTTGTTCATTGTTTGAATATTTGACCAACTGTTGAAATTTTGAAATTCTTCTACTAAATCAGGACCTACGGCGTATTGATCTGCAACGCTGTTGGAATCCACTGGTTCTTATAGACAATATTTTGAGCGAATCAAAAGATCAGCATTGGATGCTTACACAGAAATCAGATCAAAACGAAGTGTACATTGTCGAAAGACGCAGATTACGTGGAATATTTCTGGAAACGCTTGAATTGAATGATTTTCCGCTGGATGTACAGGTAAGCTCCGTTTTCGCTCATTGTGTATGTAAAAGTGAATGGATGTGCATATATATAACACGATATCTGACTCCAGCGTTCCAAGTACTTCAACAAATTCGTATTGTCATACTATTCATCAATTATTTTCGTTATTTTAAATTTGAGGTGAGTAATTGAACAAAGAAACATGAAATTTTCGCAAGGATGATGTGATTTGAGCACGAAACCTTCGACATTTCTGGTGATCACTAATAACAAATGTAAATGCGTACCCTTCAGATGCATCAAAGTAATAAGAACAAAAGTTCAATGGTTCTCATAGCTTCTCCGGAAGTAATTCATTTGATTTGATATGCGGTAAAACGTGGTTCTAAACTAGGAGTGCAAATGTATTTGTCTATGCAAACTCCCATGTCGAATGTCTGCACAAACCCCATTAGCAAAATAGGTGCACAGACTCGTTCTATGTGCATACTTCAATACCAAAAAGCATTTACTCTTGGAATAAGTAAAATGTCAGCAAACAATAGGAGAGGATGGGAGATTATTATCAACATGATAACGTATCTTTTTGTTCAGTCTTTCGTCTAAATAACTGATGTAGTCCAGTCCGTCGGATCAGCAGTCTAACGTTGCACATTATTGATGAGGTACCATAAGCCTTTCAAATATGAACAACTTCTTTCCAAAGTTTACATTCACATTATCCAAAACTTTGATATTTGCTTAGCTTCCCTGAATGTCCTTTGGGCTGATGGGAAATAAATTATATCAAGGTATGCGGTGTTACAGAAGTATATAAAAAATGGTTTTACTCCTTACAGATCTCGTTGAAACTATTTCAATTGCTTCTTTAATGAAAATCAAAAAATGATATACACCACAGTCCAAACGAGATTATCAGCTTTGTAACATATTCTTCTCAAGTTCATTTACATTCACGGTTGCCATATATATTTGTGTATTTTCGTCTCCTTCAGGAATTCCTTCTGTTCCAAAAAGTTAAGAACATTTTAATCTTCACTATCTAGCAGCTCAGTATTACACCTAATTTACTAATTCACACCCTTCAGTTCACTAATGGCGGTTGCAAGGATCGGCTCACTGGTTTCCATGACGATAGTTTAGGTTAGCTATCAAAATACTGCTTACAATTTTGTAGACAGACAAAGTAACTGTCGAGTGATTTTTTCAACCACTACAAAATACCACTTGCCGGTAGGAGAATTCATTTTGATTGAAGAACAATAGCTCTCTGAAAGATTTATTTCTGTATCCCAATAATAGGCACCTATTAACGCACATCCGGGTTAAAAGGGGCTTTGTGTCTAGCATTATTTATCACGTGAAAAAACTAAAATGTTTTAAGGCAAGACAAAATCATTTGTTTGTTGGACAAGATTGTCAGCCTCAATGCTTTGCGGTATTTATTGGTGAACGAATTTGCTGTATAGACAGTTTTATTCCAGTGATTTGTGCCGTAACCGATCAAAGAACAATTTCATTAGGTTCTCAGTAGGTCATAGTCTGCCTGCAACTGATCACGTTTATTGATAAACCCTTTCGTAGAGAACCAGGATCAAAGTTTTCGGAGTGAAAAAGGAATTTACCTTCATCCCTTAGGATCATAGTACGATTGGAACTGACGTTCTCCCAGCGACAAATTTTTCACTTGGAAACAAATAATTCCTATATAGGAAGACTGACAAAACAATGTTTTCAGAAGTGCTTTTTAGCAGTCATGTGGTGTATTAAATGAGAAAATACTGGGTAAAATGGCTTTTGATCCGAATGTGATATTTTAGGCTAAAGTTTATTCTGAAGTCTGACATTTGTGCGAAAACAGAGGAAATGTTTCATGTGTATTGGTTGGTATCTGTCAGTCAGTCAGAGCTACGAAAAAATACACAATACATCATTTTTTTCGGGTAAACGACAGGAACAACGGTAACGATAGAGCAGTTCAGTCCGGATAATGTTGGAATATTGGAAAGGCAGTTGTTTGCTAGAAGATCGAAGCGGCATCAATATCAATCACCACATTCAAAAATCCTGGGGTTCATCACAGAAATAATAAAATCTATTAGGCTTGAAGAGAGGATTTTTGCTCTACGATAATTCTAATATTTTGCTTGCTTCTCTTGAACGGTTTCACACGTGAAACGCTGAATGCTGAACGAGCGGTGTAGCGGAGAAATGTATTTGGTTCAAAGTAGTCATTCAATCAATTATTTACCTGATTAATTAGAGAATAAGGAGCAAAATAAATAAATTTCTGTATCATAAGTTTATCTCGTTAGATACTCTGATTGACGACATTGCAACAATATGACCATTGTTACTTGTTCTATGAGATATGATTTCAGATAAATTATTTCAACGAAAACATTTTCCAAGGTTACTCATTCTCTCCTCCATGATCTCTTTAACCTTTTATGGAATCCGTGTTGTAGATTTTAAACGAGATTGTGAAACTTACGCCCTTATAGGTTCTTAGCAGTTGCATAAATACTAGAAAATCTAATCAATATTCTCTACTTTTTTCCAGGACTTGACAATTACTCTCACTTCTGAACGCCCAGATTCGGAGGTTGTGCTCGTTCCCGATCGCAGTGAATTATGTGGAATCAATTTACAAACGCTGGTAGATCAACAAGTGAGTCTCCTGCGTTGCAAGTTTCACCAAATGGGAAAATTACTCATACTTTAATTGATTATATGATCTTTCACAATGAACATTATTCAGCAAGTTGCAATAAATAGGTCCTGAAAATATCTGTTGTTGGCTACTATTCGAAAATGTTGACTAGAATAGTATCATGACCTTATAAAATCTAAATGAAAAAGGTAAATATATCGCAAAAAATAACAATTTACCAAATAATAACTTATCAACGTTTATTTGTTGACCGTATTGCCTGCATTTTATTTATATGTCTGGACTCCATCGAAATTTTCATGGAATTTCGTTTTTGTTGTCAGGAATGGAAACTTCATGAGCATATCGAGGTTACGAGACGTTCAGCAACGCAGGAATATACGAACTCCAGTCAAAGCCATCCCTGCATTTCAGTGACATGTCGAGCAGCCAGAAGACCTGGTTACTTCTACTGGAATGTCTTTCTCATCATGGTGAGTATTATGTGATTTTCGCTACTGTGTTGTCAAAAATTCAATCCAAAAGCTAGAAATCAATATCTTCCTTCCTTTTATTGCATTTAACAATAGGTATTTCGTCTAAACAGTCAAACACACAGGGAGTGAAATGAAATACGGTACACTTTTGGTCGACTTTTTGAGACTGTGTAGATATTTATTTGTCAGAGGATTTATTCAATAGTCGACAAGGATCACAACCGTTTCCTGCTTTTCAAAGCCCTTCAACAGAGTAGATAGCGCGTCGTAATTTTGAGAAATCGCTGCTGTTGATAACCAACAAATTGAGTCCGTGTCTATAAAGAATATCTGTTCTTTATAAATGCATACCACCTCTCGAATATCCTGCTCCGATCATAGTTATCTCGTGTAAATGTCGCGCTTGGGTTTCAGTCCCTGTAAAGTTTACAAAACTTTGAGTTTTCTGATAGGTCTTCACATGAACACGGCAATATTTCACTGTCACGTTTCGGCCACTTCAATGATTCCTTCACGAAGAAAGTGTGACGCACGTTTAAGCAATAAATGACCTACTTAGTGGTTGTCCCTGCACAAGGACTACTGTTCGCATTTAAGAAACAAGTAGGTATTTATTATATTTTTGCTCTTCTCTATTGAGGTTATCTTCTGAGTGAGAATGCATTTTCTTATCCTAATCCCAAGTATGAATTCATAAGCATCTTCAAGATTGGTATCGGGTTTTCAGCTTCGTCTAAATAGTGGCATAAAACATTCTGGTTTGCGCACCAAAATCGTTTAGCTTTCGAAAAGTTTCCCGTTATCCTTTAGTTTTATTTCAAACAGTATTCAGTACTTTTAATGATAGAACAATTTATTCACATATGGATAAAATATGATAGTCGAATGGATCCCATAATGGAAGGTGATTTAGGCGTTGAAAGCCGAGTTACACATGCTTAACTATGCTCTCTTAGTCTTTGGGAAATGATGCACTGGTTGAGTGTCAAAGCATGCTGCCACGGATCATTTATATACAGTAGAATTTTGCTGACAAGAAAATAAGTCACTTTCAAAGACGTTATGCCTTCTGTTTTCAGGTGCATAGATAAACAGAATACTTAAGTTCCACATAATAAGATGATTGACTGTAGAATTTAGTTTGATCCTGAGTTAGATGACTTTGAAAATTGGGTGTCATTATAAGTCTTTGTACTCCACATGGTAACCGTATGGGGTTTTCTGAGGCTATTCACGTGATTATTAATTAAAGTACTTAGCTGAGGAAAAAACTAAACCTGTTGCCAGGCCGTGATAAAATTCGTCAGTTAAAAGATACAAAATTGCCACGTTGGCTCCCAAATGCTAA